AAAAGTAATCACCCGCTTGCACTATAAAATTGGAATTGTCGCATACGGTTTCAGAGCTGTACTAATATTTGTTAACAAGTTACGAGTGCAGAAAAAATGCACAATAAAATGCATTTTGTGACAAAAATATTGTTTTTTAGTCATCTCTATACATACCATGAAATAATCAGATGAAAAGGACTTACTGCTCCAAACTGGCAGTTGAAAAAAGGGACATGCGACCTTAATGTAACACATAAAACTTATCCATGGTGACGGAAACGTCGTCCAGAAAATAGTATTTCAAAGATACATTAATGGACAATAGTATATAAACAAATTAATATTGTGCTGTATTTCTTTTTTTAACTCGTTTTATGAATACACCAACCTGTAGCATAATACTCACTTATACATCAATAAATTCATTAGACTCCCTTCAATAAAAAATTAATTGAAAAAAACTGGAACTATGAAGTTCAAAAATATATAGACAAAGCAAAACAATTATAGAAAAAAGAAGCAAAGTTCATTGAATTATAGAAAACCAACCATGTTTGTTTTAATATTTTGTGGCATAACCATTATTATCAATCACCGCTTGGCATCGTCTCGGCATAGATTGTAGAAATTTCTTGATATAAGATTCACCAATCTGTCTCCACTTTTGCTCTAAAGCGGCAACAAGTTCATCCTTGTTTGAATAATTTTTATCTCGTATTTGCTCATCTAACAATTCCCATAGATTTTCAATGGGGCTTATATCGGGAGACTGTGAAGGCCATTTGAGAACTGGTATTTTTTCATCCAGAAAGAATTTCTTTGCGAGATTTGAAGTGTGCTTCGGGTCATTATCTTGCTGGAAGATTAATCTTAAGGGCATATTGTCTTCCATATAGAGTAACATGACATGCTTTAGCATGTCTGTGTATACAAACTTATCTATAATGCCATCTATTCTATGTAAACCCCGAAAAGCACCCCCAAACCATATTAGACCCGCCTCCATGTTTGACAGTGGGGTTCAATCTTTGTCCACTAGGACGTCTAAAGTAATGAACATCATCTGATCCAAACATATTGGACGAAATTACTTTCATTAATCTAACTGATCCAGCATTTAGTTTTCTAGGCCAACCACTTTTCTTAGAGGCGTCCAAGATACCTTTTTGTTTATATTTGTTCAATATTGCCCAAATCGCTTTACGCTTCAGCTTCAAATTTTTGGCAATGTCGACTTGACGTTGACCATCTTTGTATAACTCAATGATCTTAGTTTTCACATCGAAATAAATTTCTGGACCACGCGGCATGGTCTTAAAAACACTCAACTTATTCCTCAATACTTGATGAACACCAACTAATCGCATTTGTTTATGGGGCAATGAAGTATGAATTCGTTTTCTAAAGGTATTTAGGTAAATATTCATATTTGTCTATATACTTTTGTCCATTACTGTATGTAATTTCATTCTGCGGCCAGACATGGAAGATTATATTTTTATTGATGTTTCATAATGCCTACATCACCAAAATCACAGTGTTTCAATGTTGATCCGTCCCTGATTCCTCAAATATCCGTTAAGAAAATCCTAACCCAATTTAGGGAGTATTAATATTGTAAACCTTTGTTTTTAATTGTTAATCAAGCGCACACTCAATATATATTCTTTAAGAGCGCTTCACAAAGAAAATACTTCCTCAAATTCTTTGGGACTTTGTTAATGTTTGAAGAATATTTAGGAATCGTGGCAACATTAGAGTTTTCTTTTTTCAGGGCCGAAAAAGCATATTCGCACGTTTTCCAATATAAAATCACTTATACTTCGAAAACTTTAGAGAAAAGATCACGAAATTTTTTTGCATAATTTTTTTGCGCAATTTTGGGCCTGGCAACATTGATTTGAATGAATAAGATTCTCCCACATTTTCTTATGCCGAAGCAACCGTGGTGGCAGGAGCCTAAATACCGGAGCACCGCGGCTGCTAAAAGGCAGGTCGTTCCACAATCTCGACACTCTGGAGACAAAGGAGCGTCCATGGTGGAGTTGGCAGCAAAGATCTTGACAAGCCTCTGAATCGGTTACAATCATCCATCTTGGCACGCAAGGCTACTCTTTGAGAAGTTCCCCTCAATCTGCTTGGCCAGCGTCCAGAAAGGCCGACTGGCATTGCGCTGCGACATTACCCTGTGCTTGATGTTGTAATCCCCCAATTTGTTTTGTGCACCTCAGCTATGTGGTGCTCATTGTATATTTATAAATCTTAACCATACGTTTTTCGCTCACAAATTACCATTCTTAATGTGCGATGATGTCATTCACAATGTGATTCAATTTTATATCGAAACATTTGAATCTTTTGTTATATATACGAAAACGGCTATTGTGGTTTGTATGCTAGATGTTTCGTTTTCTTGTCACACATCTGACGATATTACGTTTACACATAGGCAATCATAATAAATGAAAATACTTCAAATAGTTTTAGTGCCTAACTGGAATTATTTTCCGCATTCCTCGCAAAACGCATACGTTACTACTTTGGATATTTTTATTTACGGAGCAGTAAAATGAAACCAGAAACAGCCACATAGAAGTTGTCTAACGTGATTGGTCAAGCAAAAAAGGGTCTCTTCCCACATCTCGCAAAAAATAATAAATGAAGGAGGGACTTGCAAGTTTTTGTGTACGGTTTTGGAATTTTACGATGTTGGATTTTATTCTTTGTAGTGGCGGTGGGGATTCATAGAAATCTTAGCATGTATTACGTATTAGAATTTATTATTCTGTAGTAGGCGATCTAATTAAGGAAGTAATTGTGTTTGATCAAAAGTACTAGAAATAGTATATACAATTTACTCTAAAATACAACATGAAATGAGTAAATAAATATAATTTATCCATATGTAAGTCGAATTGCAATAGATAAAGAAAGAATAGAGAGAAAAAAGTAACAGAAATGCCCATCATTTTTATATGTTGGGGGTGTTGTATTGACACATGATTTCTGGCATGACTTTAGGAAGTTTTCACGATATTTCCAATATAACGGATGGAAATTCGGTAGGCTATACAACTTTAGGAATTCAAGACTTCAGTACGTTTAGACATTGCTCCAAAATACTTCTACATGTACTTCTATGATAGAACATATTTCCAAAATATGATATGAGATGCGTAGATTTAAGAGACAAAAAAAAACAGCAATTACGAATTTGATACTCCAAGCAAATTACGTCAAATGCCTCAATTTATACGAGGGATGTCGATTAAGTTTTGCATGTGGAAATAAAACAACACGGTAGGTAGTTTTAAATGACTTTATTGTTTTTCGAAGTATTCTCCACGAAGATTAATACACATCTGCATGCGCTCCACGTTTTCTTCCGTTAAATACTGCCTTGTATTTTGGGCTGTGTGCGAGCTTGCATTGTCTTGGTGTAGGATGATTCTTCTTTCGGAGTTGTTTTTTTGAAGCTCGGTGATGACTTTTGGCAAACAAATGGTGGTATACCAATCCGCAGTAACAGTTATTTCCTCATTAAGAGGAATTGTTGCAATATAACCTCTATCACCTCTAACAATGCTGTACAAATTTTTTGAGTTTCCGGAATTGACACGGTCAAGCGTTTTTTGACACCAATTAACCCTGGCTGCTTTCTGCTCTTCAGTCAACAGGTGGGGTATCCAACGAGAAACTAATTTTCTTACTCATAATTCTTCATGTAAAATTTTTTGAATTGAGGTCTTTGAGATCTTCAAGGACGCCTCAATCTCGCAATATGTCACATGTCTATCTGCAATGATGAGTTTGCGCACAGCATCGACGTTTTCCTGGGTGACTGCCGTTTTTGGTGCACCCACCCTGGGATCGTCGCTAAGACTCACCCGTCCACGTTTGAATTCTCCATTCCAACGGGAATTGTCGACTGATATGGCGCTTCGTTGCCGAAAACTGACAGTAACTCAGCAAGGCATTCTTATTGCGATAATTGTCTCTGAAAGTTGTAATAAATTATGGCGCGAAAATGTTCTCTATTGAGTTCCATTTTTCTAATGACTTGGCGACACTTAAACATTCACTGTAGTGAGAATACTGCACGTATTGTTGTGAAACTTTGAATTTAAGTTTACTAAAGAGTGAGGTTAAGATTCAGTTCTGACGTTCGATCCGCGCGGCCTACTATGTTTCTATATGCAAAACTGAAAATACATCCCTCGTATGGAAAAATAAAAAAGTATAGCTGTCAAATATGGATTGTTTTCAAATTGCTTATATCTACTTCAGAAATAGATAGATGTCCATGAAATTTGGAGAACAAAATATGGGATTGGTCTTAAAATAGTGAAAAAAAAATATAAGCGTATGATGCAAAAATATAGAATGCTGTTTTGTATCAAGAAAAACGTATTAGATCGTCGGTTCTGGGTACGCCTGCGGGTAAATCTGTCTATGTTAAACACAATTTTATATATTCAGTCGCCTGTACATTATTTTTGCATTTAATTCGGATGGTCCTTTTTCAAAATGAAAATGTACCACAGCCTCGCACCAATGTCTTAGCTACTTGTCACCTCAGTCAAGTTGTATTTTTAGCATTTTTTGCGTTTTTCAACATAGTGAATCCCAGACTATATGTCTGAGATCAAAAATGGATAAATAGATTATTTGTATATCTGATTACTGTATAAACTTTGACTAATATCAAACACTACTTTAAGCATCCTAACTGTTTACACTTGGAACAATAAGTATTCTTTAAGATATTCTATAAATATGATATACAGCATGCCACATGATTCAACTTAAGCTAAGCCGGAAACAGTCAGGTGGGAACATTTACAGAACAATAAAACATTACGAAATCGAGGATGACGTTATCGAAATTTTATATATGCCCTAAACCTAAACCAAGGTATAGACATTGAGTTTGGAGATCGTCCGACGATTTTCACAGATACATCAAAGGCCGATGCGGTAATTAGTGTCTTCAAATCTGATCCCGTTTTCTTTTTCAGGCAAGAAGTGTTAGACCATCGTGTTCAATGGAACGCCTCGTTCACCTTTCCTTGCAAGATGATGGCCAATGCCAGTACCGGCGTGATGGAAAGATGCGTGCTAAGGGTGTCCGTGAGGAAAGAGTCCAAGGGTGGAAGGTCCTTCACCAAGCTGGGCTTCGTCGATCTCAATTTGGCCGAGTATGCTGGCGCGGGGGTTGTCAGGAAAAAGGCACTGTTAGAAGGGTGAGGATCAGCTTTTGGTGCAATTGATTACTGGAACCCGGAAGCCTAGGGTTGATCCAGAAATAGGGTTCTCAAAGAGCTGCAGCCTTACGAGAAGATGCGAGGCGAAATTCGGCAACAGTGCTGCTCGCGGCTATTCCTCCATTCTCGATTTCCCCGGCCGCGCCGCTCAGGGTTGCCATATTCGGGGATTTCCCCAGAATTGGCGATTTTCGTTTTCACGTCCCTTGGGGAATCTTTAGGGGATAAAATGTTCTGGACGATTTTTTGGGAAAATAAAATATTTGGGTATTTTTTGGGGTATTTTATTCCATATTTAACTACGGAAAACTATTCACTGCTAAATAACAATTTTTTTTCTGTAGCTTTTTCCAGTTCCCCCACTCTCGATTACCCCGGCCGCGCTGAGGGTTGCCATATTGGGGGATGTCCCCCAAATTTTGGGGATTTTCATTTTCACACCCCGAGGAGAATCTTTGGGGGATAATTTTCCGGGGGATTGTTTAGGGAGGAAAATAAAATATTTGGGTATTTTTTGGGGTATTTTATTCCATATTTAACTATGGAAAACTATTCACTGCTAAATAACAATTTTTTTTCTAAAGCTTTTTCCAGTTCCCCCACTCTCGATTACCCCGGCCGCGCTGAGGGTTGCCATATTGGGGGATGTCCCCCAAATTTTGGGGATTTTCATTTTCACACCCCGTGGAGAATCTTTGGGGGATAATTTTCCGGGGGATTGTTTAGGGAGGAAAATAAAATAGTTGGGTATATTTGGGGTACTTTTATCCATCTTTAACTACGAAAAACTCCACCACTAAATAAAATTTTTGTTTTTCTGCAGTGTTTCTTCCAGTTCTCCCCTCTGGATTACCCCGGCCTCGCTCGGGGTTGTCATATTCGGGGATTTTCCCCAAATTTGGAGATTTTAAGTTCGTCGTCTTTGGGGAATTTTTGGGGGGCTAAAACGTTCTGGGGTTTTTTGGGAAAATAAAATATTTAGGTATTTTTGGAGTATTTTATTCCATCTTTAACTACGAAAAACTGTCCACTGCTAAATAATTTTATATTTTTTGTAGCTTTTTCTTTCCAGTTCCCCCACTCTCAATTTCCCCGGCAGCGCCGCTCAGGGTTGCCGTATTCGGGGATTTCCCCATAATTGGGGATTTTCGTTTTCACGTCCCTTGGAGAATCTTTAGGGGATAAAATGTTCTGTGTGATTTTTTTGGGAAAAATAAAATATTTGGGTATTTTTTGGGATATTTTAGTCCATATTTAAACTGTTCACTGTCTAATAACAATTTTTTCTTTCTGTAGCTTTTTCTTTCCAGTTCCCCCACTCTCGATTACTCCGGCCGCGCTGAGGGTCGCCATATTGGGGAATTTCATTTTCACACACCTTGGGGAATCTTTGGGGTTAATGTTCCGGGGGATTTTTTAGGGAGGAGAAAAAAATAGTTGGGTATTTTTGGGGTTGTTTTATCCATCTTTAACTACGAAAAACTGTCCACCACTAAATAAAAATTTAAAATGTTATGGGGATTTGTTCGGGTGAAAAAAATAGTTGAGTATTTTTTTGGGGTTTTTTATGTTATCTTTAGCTGCGAAAAACTGTCGTCTGCTAAATAACAATTTTATCTTTCTCTCAGCTGCTCATTTTTGGCTCAGTACGAGATTCGTTCCGTAATTCGTTTTTCGCACGACAAGAGTATCCATCATTAGATGACAGAGGTTCGAGGTGCGAATCTCGCACTTGGCAGATCAGCAACGGGAACCTCCATATCGGACGGCTGCTGAGCCAACAATTTACGTCACAATGTTGCCCTGGTCAAATAATCTTTCCTGAAGCTTATTCTAAAATTCCCTAAATTCAATCTAAAATACCCTAAATTCGACGGTCATTTACTACTGTCTAGTTTGAGAAATCAGAGACCATGGAGAATAGGGTTCTTGATTTTACATAAGTTAGACGGAGCTATTTTGAGTTAGGAAATTACGTTTTTTCTCCCTAACAAATACCCAAAAAAATCTCCTATTTGAATTTTTTCCCCTAAATTTGGGAGAAATCCTCCAAGTTGGCATCACTGGAACAGCAATGGACAGCGGTGTTGCCGGATTTCGCCTCGCACCTACCGTGTAGGAGATCTTTGGGAACCTTATTTTTGGATCAACCCTCGTATATTGACTCCATACTTCACACGCACTGGAATTTATTCGAGGAATGCATGCAGCAGCAATTAGGGACTTTTTGGAATTTTTCGTTTTTCGCTCACAACTCTGCAGCGGCTGGACCGAATTCACAAGTTTTTTTTTTTCGTATAGTATTGAGTACTTCTTTCAAAATTTCGACAAAATCTGAAGTATATAGTAGCTGGTTAGCTACAGAGGGATCAAAAGCACTTTGACACGAATTTTCAAGGTACACTTTTTTGTGCACGTGGATAGTTGTAAAGCGATTAAAGTTGGTTGATTGTCGTATTTGTGAAGGTAATGACAAATAATTTATTCATTACAGATATGACGCTAGAAGGCGACAAGACAATAGCATGTTGAAATTTAGGATAGAACTAAGTATGGTGTCTGGGGACATACTTTTCAAGGCGTAAGTATCATCAAATATTATCATGTTAGACTAGGTACTAGCGTAAAAAAAATCACAGCGTTAGACATATGCAATAGAATCCTTGTTCGAAACACATGAGAAACTATTTTCGTACTTTTTCTCCATGTCAGGTATACAAAAATAAGGACTTAAGACAACTTGGGATAATTTTTAAATCGAATTAGAACATTTTTGAAAAAATTTAATTCGGAAATTTGGAGAAAAATTTGTTAAATAATTGGAAAATTTGGAAAATAATCTGAAGATCTTGATTTCAAGCACTTTTGTTGTCGTCTCAAAATATATTATCCTTTGTAAAAACTAAAAAAAAAAACGCTTTAATAGCAAAACAAATTAGAAAGTAGATAATAATTTTCAAGCATAGGAGAGTTTCTGTTATTGCAATAGAAACTCCAATTATCAATTATAGTACAAAAGCGAGAGGTGCAATTAAATATATATTTTCATAATAATTCCACTTTGTAAATAGCAAATAAAAAAATAATACTAACGTTTAATATCAAGCACCCCATGCCTTTTTTACTATAATTGATTTGTCTTTGTTAATGTCTAAATTTTCATATTGATTTATTCCAAATTAATTAGTCATACTTGATTGTTGGACTTCCTATTGCCATAACACGAATTCTCATGTTCTTAAAAAAATGTTCTACTTTTTATTACAATTTGCAGTTAAAGCGTATATTTTTGTTTTAAGCTATAATTTATTTACCCATCAAATCACCTGTTCGGACTCATACTAGGTGTGTAAATCAAGTGATGAGACTGACAACGTAGCGTTGGATCTGGCAACACCGGTGGCGCCGGGCTTGGAGGGGAGGCAGAGGAACTTGTGATCCGCCTTCAGTACAAGCTTGAACTCGCTCGAGTCATTTGTCCGTAGCGATTTTTTTTAAACAAATTTTATGAAATCAATTTCGAGCAACGATGTGCTATCAGGTTGAGCACAGTGCAATGGAAACTCTTGCCAAACTTCAGCAGGCCTAAGGAGATAGTGTTTTGTCAAGAGGCCAGGTTTCTCGGCGGTTTAAAGCATTTTCAGAAGGGAGAAAGTCGATTGAAGAAGAACCACGAAGCGGAAGGCCTTCATCTCCAAGAACCGATGAAAATGTCGACAAACAAATCATTTAGCTCAAATACTCTCAACCCCTATCATTATAATTAATTCATGTACAAACGTTTATTTTCAGTCCCTCGCCATCGCTGAAGCATAAGCAAATAAACGTTGATGAAGGTGGCAACGAACAGAGGTCCGACGAATTTTCCAGTGGATCTTTAGCAGGTTCGATAGCCAGCGGAAGTTCCGGATTTGGATCACTGCCAAAGAAAAGGCCGGCGCTGCTTTCGTCAGGTAACTGTCAATGTCAAGCTCGATCATTGTTCATGCGGTGGTGAAATTTGCATATTTACACTTGACCAGTCTCATCGAAATTACGCTCAGGTCATTCAAAAAAGGAGCTTTGGGAAACGTAAAAGTTTTTAAAATGTTCGTATTTGCGGAATATATATATATATATATCTGGACCTCAGAGCCATACGGTATTAAGTCCAGTTTTCTCACATTTTCAGGTTTTGAATGATACCATGCTATTTTTTCCCGCTCTTTCCATTGGCGTTGAGTATTAAGTCCTATCTGGTACCGTGTATAAAATAAGCCAGTATAAAATGTACTATGTCCAATTTGGTGACGAGGCAAACTGTTTCAAAGTCCCTTGATACTGTTTTGCCCGAGGAAATAGAACTTCCTTTAGTATTAAGTCCGGAGTTTAGGTATTAAGTCCATATGCAAGGTTAAGCGTGTATAGGACTTAATACTTTTAGTTACTTGTTGACTATTGTTGATTACAGAAGTTTGAGTATACAACGCTACTTGATTGCAATAAATAATAATTATACTTTAGAAAGAATATCATCAAAATAGATCAACTATAATGTCAGGTCGAGCTAAGAGAATGGTACAGATGGCTTGCAAAATCGACGAAGCTGACTGCAATCGTGATTCCGCCAACATAACCTTACTTTCTCACGCAAGCGCAAGTAAGTTATCAATCGTTTTTATGGATCAGGATTTATTTCAACTATAGCTTCCAACTAATCTCTGGAGTGAATCAGAAAGTCGTACAAAATAGGGATAGGAGTGGAAATAGTAGGAACGATTAGAATCACAATTTTGGTTTAATAAGGAAGACGTTGCGTAATTCAAGTATCTTGATGTTGAATAATTCAGGGAAATCCTAATCGACATACTTTAAATAATTCGAAATTGGAGAATGGTACACATTCTGGCTCCGCCTACGAGAACCGCCGGGTGGTACCTCCGCGTTCGACAGTCAGAGACCATCTACCACCTACGAACAATCACAACATCCATAGCCAAGAGAAAAATTTCTCCTGGGACGGGACTCGAACCCGCACAGCGCACGGCAACTGATCAGGAGACCGAAGAGTCTACTACTGCGGCCACCGCTGCTGCCTAAAACAAACACACAACATCCATGGCGAAGGCGAGATTCGAACTTGCGGCCCGGCCGGCCGGCTGATCAGTAGCACGACACTCTGACCCGCGCGGCCAACCGAGGTCCCATATTACTCAAATTTTACCAAACGATGTTAATAAATTAATTAAATACTCTTTAGATCACAATCTACTTATTAATCCACAAAAATCTAAAATGTTATTATTTTTCGCACAAAGAAAAACATACAATGTAACACAGCTCTTGAACATTCAGATAAATAAAGAAATCTTGCAATTTTCTGATTCTGCAAAAATTCTTGGTGTTGTTTTTGATACAAAATTAAGGTTTATTGAACATGTTAAAAGTCTATCTCAAAAAACCTACCTACGGCTGCGCACTCTTATAGCAAACAGGTATTTACTAAATTTTAAGATGCGTAAAAAACTATGTAAAGCATTGGTCATATCTATACTAAATTATTGTTGTTTAGACAAGTTCACTAAAAACGTTATTCAAGTTATTCAAAACAATTGTATACGATTCATTTTTGGCTTACGTAAATTTGATCATGTATCGGCGAAATATCCCGTTCTAAACTGGTTAAAAATTAATGACATGGTCAAGTATCACTATTCAGTTTTTCGTAATCATTCATTTCTTATTTATTCCGTATTTAATTCAGGTTAATAATTTTTGGTGTACTTGGGTGTGCCTTTTTCTTTTTTTAATTTTTACTTTCGATGCAATGAACCAACTCTGTTTGTGGATAGCGTATACTTTTGAACATCTGCTAGAGACTATATGGTTAAGTGTAAGAGTAGCAGCATGCTAAACTTCGCCATATAAGTCTGACATTTGGCTATACTACAATGTAATTGTGGATAAATAAAGACGTCTATTATTATTATTATTATTATAAGGAATCATGTTCTGAAACCAACATAAGGGTTCTGATGGTTGATTTACAAAAATGTTTACCTACGCCTTTGCTCAAAAATTCGCAAAGCTTTTATTTACTGAAGCTCTGGACATTCTACTATACTGTGTACGATAGCTCACAGAAGTCTGCTTCTGGGACGAATCCATAGCTGGACGAGGTGGCAATGAGATGGCTTCTTGCTTAATGAAGTATGTATTAAATCTGCCCGATAGCGTTGACCATATAGTGGTATGGAGCGACAATTGTCCGTCACAAAATCGAAATTTACAAATGGTAATATGTTATTTTCTGATGCTGCAGGTGAAGAGTCATGAAAACCTCACCGAAGTTTTTCATTATAACTTCATGGGACTGGCAACAGCTTATACGACTCTGTGGCCCAAAAATAGATGTGTCTGAAATGGAACTACTTGATTTCAAGAACTTCAACGATCTCCAAAGTAATGCCAGATCTCCTATGCAACCGAAGAAAAAAACTAATACTGGACACCCCTTCTTGATTTCAAAAGTAGTTCATATGAAGTTTTTTGCTGACTCAATGGGAATATTATACTTTAAAACCGCTTTTAATGATACAGAATTCAAGCAAGTAGATTTCAACAAATCTGAACCAAGAAAGACACGGCGAGTACAGAAAAGCTGATCTCAACTTTATATGCCTGAAGCTATTAGAGAATCTATGAGGCCCATTACGACAAAAAAGTTCTTGGATCTTCAAAAGACACTGAAATGGGTTCCCAAACGATTCCACAACTTTTTCAACAACCTATCCCATGGATCAGCCGAAGCAGACGAGGAAACCTAAAGGCTACCCATGGAACTCAGATGAAATATACAAAGACGATTTTTTGTGCAATATTTTCTTTATTTGAATGAAAAAAACCTTATTTTTCTCAAATGTTTTTTATTTATATTTCCCAACATGTAAATTCTCCAACAAAATTCCAGAACCATAGAGTATTATGTCACATAATTTGATATTATGTCACCAAATATTAAGTCCTAGTTCAGAACCAGACTGTATTAAGTCACATAAAAATGAAAAAATATTGTTTTAATTTAACAGATGACTAGAAAATAAATTCCATTTAATACCAAATTCAACAGCAGTTATCATTTTACGATATACAGTAATTAATTCAACTATGTGCAGTTCTAAGAAAATAATATAGGTAATCAAAACCTTCAAAGTGTTCTCCTGAAAAGTTATATGGAAGTGACTTAATACAGTATGGTCCTGATGTCCAGATATATATATATATATATATATATATATATATATATATATATATATAGCACATAAGCATTTGGACACTGCTTTAGAACTGTTAAATAGTGATATTGAAAAAATTATGAATTGGTTAAATGTCAATAAACTTGAATTAAATACTAATAAAACAAAATGTATGTCAATTATATGTCAAAAAACATTTAGGTGACAATATAATTAGGCTCATGATTGATGATGAAAAAATTGAAGTAGTCGATTAATTTAAATATCTTGGTATATATCTGGATAGTAAGCTATTGTTTCACGAGCATTGTGAATACATTATTTCAAAAATATCGAAAAAGATAAATTACTTTTATATTTTCCAATAATCTTAGTATGTATTCCAATAAAATTGTGTATAACACTATCATTCTTCCCCATTTTTTATATTGTTCAACAATCTTGTATACAGCAAATGAAAACTTATTTTCAAAATTACAAATTCTACAAAATAAAGCTATGAGAATCATTTTAAATAAAAACAAATATGCTAGGATTAAGTCTATGTTAGAAGAACTGCGGTGGTTGGATGTGAAAAATTTCATATATTATTTAGTTCTCGTTTTTATATGCAAATTAAAAAATCATTTATTACCACCACATTTAGAGAACTTCACAAAATTAAATAGTCATTATCATAACTACGAAAGTAGAGGCAGTATTGATTTTTATCTGCAAAATTGTAATAGTACCATAACTAGTAAATCTATATTTCAAAAGGGAGTATTTGAATTTAATAAATTGAATGATGATATTTAACAGAGTTCGAATTTAAAAATGTTTAAGATTAAATTAAAAAATCACTTTATGAATAATCAAAATACATAGTGACGTAATTTTAATTTTAATAAACAAGAATGTAAAAATACAGAAAATGGATTGATAAAAAATATGTAATATATAAATCATTATACAAAATTGACATTGTAGCATTAATGCTAAATAAATCTTCAACAACAACAGAAAGAAGATAGAAACAGGGAGAAAGCTGCTGGATTCAAGAAATAATACATTTTAGGGACTTTTTTTTGTTTTGTTTAAGATTTATTTAGCATGACTGCTAGAATTACATTCTTTTAAAAACTAAACAATGACATTACATACAGATATTTAGAATAACAAACTTTGCATTTCTAAGAACTTTCACTGCCCATGAAATATTCCTTCAATTTTCTTCTAAACATTTTTAATAAATTCACAAGCATTATTTAGTTTATTAAATAAATTGAGGTGATTCTTTCTGAAATATTGATTTGCTAGTTATATTACTATTGCAATTTTGTACGTGAAAATCTATATTTCCTCTTGTATAATAATTATTGTGGTAATGATTATTCAATTCTATCTAGGGTTCTAAATGTTGTGACAAAAGATGATTTTTTATTTTAAATATAAAAGTAACAACCAAATATGAACCACTACAATTCTTGTAACATAGATTTTATGTTGGTCTACTTATTCAATATTATTCTCATAGCTTTATTCTGCAGGACTTGTAATTTTGAGAATACAGCTTCATCAGCAGTGAATAAGATAGTTGATCAATATAGTAAATGCTGTCTATCAATTTTTTTGGAATATGTGTTTCTTTCACTGTATGTGGAATCTGGACAAGATGATCGATATTCAAATTGAACCTGTAATAATTAGTATTAATCATTCGGACGATGATTCAAATACTTCCAGCTAATAAAGAATTATGAAAAGTATGTGCACTTCTTTCTATAAAAATAATTATTTATTCTGTTAGATTATTCCTATACCATTGAGGAAAATACGGACCTGTACAATCTCGCTTTAGAGCATGTTGTGTTTTGTATGGACGTAAATGGACTACGAATGGGTATAGAAGCTTTGCTGCATAACGCAACCGAAGTCGAAATCGATTTGCTGTTGGGCTGCTTTCAGTGGGAACGTCGCCTAAGACGAAAAACGTTGTAACCGCAAAATAAATGAAAAGCGGAAGATATCCAGTCATCCATAGAGATACCCATTCCCGTGCCGCCCATTCCGCGAAAGCATCGCTTTTAATTGAAAGGCATCATCCCGGCCGTGTTTCCGTGTTTCAAAATGGAATATTGTGTGATGTGGCAGGGGGAAATGAGTCTGTCTAAATTCTGAATAAATGTCAGCTGTTTCCTCATTTATCATTACTTAATGGGGTTGTGTTGGCGATCCTTCTGCTGACCCAGATATAGACTGTCGTCACAGTAGAGCTAGAAATTAGCTTTGCATAGTAATGATAATACATTTTTACAGTCGGATTGGTTTGACGCAGTATTCCCTACGAACGTTTGTAATTTCTGAGGTTGATAAAATTTTCTGTTCAGAAAAATATCATCTCATATACACGGATTTCTCGAAAACCACTGATTAAAAGGGAAAATGCGGAGACAAGTCAGAAGATTTGTCAAGGCCGACAACTTTTTAATCAAAGACTACTACGCCTCCTTCCACCCTCTTCCCCCAGGGTCAATCCCTTAAAAATTTTAAATGACAAGGGGTATCGAGTAATAGCTTGTTTGAAAGGTCTTTCGAAGTCGTTTATTTTGACGTTTGATTTTTTTAAAACGGTCGATTCGTTTTCAGAAAAATTATAAAAACCTTGATCTACCTTAATTTGTTCCGATAGAAAACAAAAACACACGGACATTTTCAAAAATATGTTGTGGGATATCATGGCAGCTTTCGATGATGCGTTGACGAAGTTCATCCAAACTTTCAGGTTGGGGAGTAAACACAATAGATTTCAAGTGGCCCCATAGAAAAAAGTCTAATGGCGTCAAATCAGGAGATCTAGCAGGTCATTTTATATGCGCTCTTCGCCTTATCGATTTATCTAAAAACTCATCGTCTAGCCATTGCCGAACCGGAATAACATAGTGAGAACCGTCTTGCTGGAAATATATTTCAGCCTCATCAAGTATAGGGTTTCCATTGTCTTTGATTTGGTTTTCAATGGTTTCAGTGATAAGCGGAATGATGGTATTTTCCATTATACCATATCCAAATACATGTATCCATTCAGATTCCATTAATAAACAATGGCCCAATCACTTTGTTTCCCAAAATGCCTTCCCATGCATTAATTTTTTAGATAAAATGCATTCATAACTGAAAGCAGAGCAACTAGATATTTATTGCTAAATTGCATTCTTCAATTATTACATTAATTTTCTCGGACAATAGAAGGGTTTTTATTTTTTTACTCAAAAATGGCGCATCGAAGGAAAACAATTCAAGAGAGATCATTTGTTTTATCTTGAACGGGGAATGGCCGCAGTGAATTACGTAACATGCCTTCAATTTTTCTCCTTGTTGCAGACCTGGTGATCGGGCAAACCCTCCAAGAAACCAACGCGGCCACTCCTCCTATCGTCGGCGACTATGCATCCGATCTACCCACCCAGCCGGACCCTCAAGAACCACCGATCGTTCCGACGAGTACCACCTGCAGCAGCGAACCCGGTCACTCCAGGAACTCCTCGAACACCAGCCAGCTGTCGAAGGCGTCGGGGTACAGTAGCGGAGCGCATTCGCACAGCAGGCAGAGCAGTTCTGGGGATTCGGGACACGTCAGGTGAGCGAGTGTGGGGGTAGCGCATGCGTAGACTTAGGTAGGAAGGATGTTAGACTATCTACTCGCTAGACAAGTAAAAACAGGCTCTGCGTGTTGCAACTGTTAGCGTGGAAACGTAACCTGGACAAATTTATTAACCAACGTAGACACGTGGCCCAACCTTGCATGCTAGTAAGTAGTACGACAAAAAAATAGGAACAATAGGCGAAGGGCGGATCTACAACATACCAAAAAAATGACCCTAGTAAATGTTTCACTGTTTTTGAGATATTAATTTTTTTTATTAAATAACAGAATATCTGTTTGTTTTTTTTTTGCAAAATATTCTCAGATATTTGGTCTACTATTTGAAATATCGTTTTCGATAAATACAAGTAGGTAAACTCTTCGTCGTAATTTTTATTTTCGAAAACTACTCAACTTTGGTATTCAGCTTTGAAATAAAAATGTACTAGACTGCTACTGCAAAGTACTACGATAAATTTCCTGCTTAATCAGCACTTCAGAATGGTATAATAATGCTACCATTCTTAAAAAATTCGAAAAAGACAAAAAAATTAATATCTCAAAACAGTGAAACTTTTACTAGGGCCATTTTTTTGGTATGTTGTAGATCTGCCTTTCCCATATCTTTCCCATTTTTTTGTAGTACTATTTACCCTGTATATTAAAAATGGGTGCGACCCTGCACTTCCCACACAACGCTCACATCATTTTATAAAATTTTGTCCGGCCACCTTTTTAAAAAAAAAGTCAACTACGAAGATGCACGGTCCGTCCGACAACGTTGCTCTCAGTTCTGGGTGGATTTTGGCGTTTTCGGGACGATGGACGAGGGTGACGTGTCTATTACATTAAAAACACGACAGTCAACCTCATGCTCGCTTGTCGCTTTGGCATGCTGGAGGTTCTTTTGGGCGCGGGAATAACTACCCTAGACGGTCCTTGCCTTTGTAATTTCAGCATGTTAGAGGACCGTTGAAACTTTGGTAGAGTAACACACTATATAGGAATGTGAACAGAAGAAAGAAAAGAAAAAATAAACCAAGTATCACCTGGAAGACGGATAAAATATATTGTGATTTGTACTTGAAAAATCCACAATGGTGGCCGAAACGTTGTCAGTAAGCAGTATTTCAGGAATATGTGGTTCATCTTGCAGTCATGGAGGATTGTTTCTATAAGTAAACCTCCAGCGGAAGCAGCAAGCGCCCTCGTGATAATTGGAAATATTTCTACCACTCAAAGTGGTGAAATCTATTATCTATGTTAATTATATGCAGGCACCCATCCCTAATTATTTACTGCTCAAAAAATTTCCAAAAGATGACCAGGAGTCTATGCTATCAAAAAAGATTTTTTTTGCTTTGTGCCTTTAGCACCGCCACCACTGGACCAGTTTTCAAAACATACAAATGTTTTTTGTCCTTGTCAACATTTCATAAAAATCCAAACGGTTCTTTCCAAGTTGTTTTAAAAGGGCAAACGGATTGATCGTTGGAAATGAATGCCACAGTTTTCCGTGATGTGCATCCAAAAAAATATATCACATTTTCGATTTTTTTTTCGCAAAAAGTCCCAAGAACAGTTAGGATTGACAAATTCGCACTACAGTATATTCAGATAAGAGATAGACCGGATGTAAACAAAAGGTGCGGGTGATTTTCACGCTAACGCCGCCGTCTCGACGTAAAACAGGAGCCCTCATTGGTCAATTCGCAATTAAATGCCTATGCCGAGCGGCAGAGCAGTCGTATCAAGGCAGAGTCACATTCAGGTTCAGACGTGTTACGTATGTCGTGTGCATCATTGCAATTTGATATTTCTTTGGACGTTTTCGTTTGTTATCTTATTAAGTTGTTGAGTTTGTCGTTGTTATTGTTATACCTTGTTATTGATTGTTATTGTTATCAACTGCTTGCGCAAAATGCCCAGTAGTACAGATACTGCCGATGAAGTTGTAAACTCCTGTAGTCCACCTAGGAAACGCTCTAAAAAAAAACACCTGAGTGCAGAAATGAAAGAGGTCATTTTGAATATATATAAGATCGAGCGCGAGGAGAACGAGGCATCAACCATCAAAGAAATTGTTGTGAAGGTTTCTCACAAAGTTGGGGTGTGTCGCGCATCAGTGTTTAATGTGTTAAGACAATACTAAAAAAATCACACCTTTTCTGAGCCAATGACCAGTAAAGATCGCAAAAGTATTGTTAAATCATTGGATGAAGCTGATAAGCATGCGATTAGGAGGAAAGTGCATGAATTCTTCTTTAGGAATGAAATACCTACTATAGATAAAGTACTGCAGGAGGTAAATGGAGATACAACGTTGCCAAATTTCAAACGATCAACTTTCCATGCGTTACTGAAGCATTTAAATTTCAAATGAAAAAAACGGGGTCGTAATAGTTTACTACTGGATAGAGAAGGAATTGTGCTATGGAGGAGGGATTATTTAACAAAAATTGGGAAATATAGAAATCAAAACAGGAAGATTTATTACCTTGATGAAACGTGGGTAAACGCAGGACACACTACAAGTAAAGTATGGGTTGATGATTCTGTAACTTCATCCAGGAGGGCCTTTCTAGATGGACTGTCCACCGGATTAAAAAATCCAGCAGGTAAATACGAGTAATAGACAACAATCGGATGTTTTTCAAACCTTGGGAACAAGGTTCTAAACATTGATTCCAGGGGGCAGATAAAACATATTACAAGTAAACTTTTATAACTTTCGATAAAATGCGTGGATGTTTTATTGTCATTTTCATTTGTTAGAACTTTTTTAAGCCATGTTTTTATGTGTTTTCGATATTTCAATAATTTTTTAATATAATCTTAAAATATGTCGAATATTATAAACTTAAAAAAGTTACTAAGTTTTATATTGTGTACCGTTCCTAATATTTCTAATCATTTTAATTCATACTTTAAGCTTTATAAAGTTATAATTTGTTAATATTAATATTTGCGCGTATTTCAGGTTCCTGATCATTCATTTTTTAAAGGTTTATAACTTTAAATTAAATTGTGAAGCGCTGAGTAATCATACGATGTTCAATATTCTTTCTTTCAATATGACTAAATAATCCCAATTATAGCAATCTGATACTCATGTCTCAATGTTTTTTCGCTGAATGTGATTAAAACATTTGAAAAAGGTTCGCTTATTGAAATAAATCTACACCAGTTAGTACTTCGATTTCCAGGTAAAGGGAAAAGGCTCATTATCTGCCATATTGGCAGTGAGGATGGATTTGTTGTTGACGGTCTGTGGTGCTTTGGGTCTAAGAAAACTGGAGATTACCACGAGCAACTGAATGGCGAATCGTTTGAACAGTGGTTTTCAAAATTTTTACCGAACTTAGAGGAAAACGCAGTAATTGTGTTGGATAATGCGCCTTATCATTCTCGAAGAATGGAGAAGGTCCCAACAACGGCTTCAAGAAAAGTTGATGTTCAAAATTGGCTCCGCTCGAAAAATATCAACTTTGAAGAAGCAATGCTGAAAGTACAATTATTAAGAATAGTCAAGGATCACAAGGCGGAATATCAAAAATACGCCATTGACGAAATGGCAGCAAGTCAAAATAAAACTGTGCTCCGTTTACCTCCATACCATTGCGAGCTCAATCCCATTGAGCTCATATGGGCAGAGGTTAAAAATTATATAGCTACGCACAATACAATTTTTAAATTTTGTGACCTCAAAGGACTTTTCAAAGAAGCACTAGAATTAATAACAGCGCAAAAATGGGAAAACTGTATTAAGCACGTGAAAGACAAAGTTGAAAAGAGAATGTGGGAACTGGACAATATTTTAGAGGAACAAGTCGAGCCATTCATTATTGACGTTGGTGCTTCAGGCAGTAGCGATGATGAAAGCTCATCAAGCTCATCTTTCCAATAAAAGATGTCGTTTATCAAATTCGGTGAGTTATAAGTAATTATAAAGCTACTGTATTTTTTAATTAATTATTGACATTTTTGAACCCATTTTGGCAAAACCTATTCAAGAATCTACTTTCTGACAATGTTCAACCATGCACATTTTTTTACGTTTTGAACATTTTAATTTGGTTACATATTTACCTAGAAATCAAAAAATATACTAATCAATATTCTAAAAGCAATTTTAAGAGATATACGATTATTTTTAATTTAGGCTAATTTAAACGCCATTTTGAGATTATATTCGACTGTATTTCACCAAACATCAGGCGGCATCGGAAGCTGGAAATCGAAGCGAAAATTTTGAAACCCTTATGTATATTTACATCATTATATATTTCTTACCCCACCCCCACATGATCCTATATCCATCACCAATCGTATACACATCGAATTGTGCTAATTTACTACAAAGTTACGCAAAGCAGCATCTACTATCTAAAATATGTACTGCGTGACTCTTAATACGTCCCTGCTGAATGTTACAGCAGGGTCTATCTCTTATCTGAATATACTGTAGGTACATGTGGACGAGCAGAACAGCCGTTCTGCCTAAATTGCTGCAACCCTCATTTCACTAGCATGCTTTATGGGTTCCAGGCACGAAGGATATTATACGGAGTTTTGAATATTGAACATGGACATGGTCAGGACTTTACTATTAAATCATCGATTCGGATATGTGAACATTATACAGTAGTATAATTAGTATAATGAGCAACTCCGTTGAGCAAATTATGATTTTTAGACTTCTGATGCCATATCCACGCATTCACATAGCGAAGAAGATACCACTGTTTATAAACTATCTGGACTATAGTTTATAAGCTACATAAATATCTTCGAATAACAGCCTTCCTGCAATATAAACTGTACCGCAATTACTTGCTTTTGCTAGTCTAGTAGAGTAAATAGTCATGGAGGTAGTAAAATAGTCAGATTTTAAAAGACGAACAAAACGATCTATGTTTTTCTTCCACCTCCTAGATGGATCTTTTTCAATATTTTGATTTACTAATCGATTATACGCAGAAGAAAGATAGATAGTGAGTAGCCATACTGTAAATAAATGTAAAAATACTGGCATCTTTACGAGAATTAAAAAAATAGACAAAAAATACGATTTTGGCTATAAAATACGACGGATGTAAGAAAATTTTGTCGAATCACATTGTCTTTCGATATTAGAAAATTTTCATTAAATTGTTACACATCCTGAAATTTCTGCAGTATTTTTATCAGATCGTATCATAAAAAAAAATCGATAATAATGATTTATCGCCAATAAAAAAATGACTTGTTTGGATAACATTCAGACGAATGTCAATATTTACTTCAACGTTTTCACTAAAGACACAGTAAAAAACATAAAAATAACTTTGAATAAAAAATATACGACCTATTTTTGGTTAAGAGTTCTTTTTTTAATATCACGTTTCATTTCATCTTGATCCTAGGTCTACGTTTAAAATGCGTAATAATAATCCGTTGTAAAAAACCTGACATATAATAGCAGAAAAACTGAACATTGGTATATTGCAAAACGATGAGACATTGAATGTATAATAAAAGTATTTTCAAACAGTCACAGCAGAAATGCAATTGAGGGACCAATGCTAGCACCTTTCAAGTCCATTTTTTATAATTTTAAAGAAGAGTAATGTCCGGGATTGACTTGTTTTTGCCACGTTCGAGCAAGCAGGCAACCACCAATCCATTGCTTATTAATAGGGCTACATGATGTTAACTAAATTTTACTAAAAAATGGACTTGGTCTGTTCTAGCATTGGACCCCTAAACTCGTAAAATACATAACTTATTTTCAATCATTGTTGATATGCAGTAGAACGTCACTGATGTCAGCTTCTGCACTTATTATTTTTAGGATGGATTTGGATAAGCTGTAATGCATGATGCTTTTACATTTAGGGCAGTGTATACCTCCGAACACTTTTATTTATTTTTTTGTTGGAATGGGCAATCACCAATTTTTAACCGGTACGGCGAACTGCCACTTTATTTTTATTATATTTATTTTTTTCTTGCTAGATGTAATGCATGCTAAACGTTTCTGTCCACATTAGGAATCAGCAGCACAGCCACTCGGTTAGAGCGCGAAACCATTCTACGCCAACAGGCACGTTTTTCCGCACAAACACTTACCCCAAAAAAATCAACATCCCCAACACCATTCCCTCTAACCAAGAAGTATTCCTCACACCAGAATGTCTTTTCACGTCCACTCCTACGAAAAAACCGTTGATTGAAGACGAAGTTTCGTTTTACTCGACGCCCAAAGGATTTTTCTCGCAGAATAGCACCGGAAATTCCAGCGGTACCGAGGAGTACAAGACTCCCGAGACTAGTGGGATCATCAGCGCTAAGACTGACGTATTTTCGCAGAATTTCAACGAATTGCAAAAGTCTTCTTCGACAAGCGTCATGGAACGCATAAAGACTGATATGATGAACGCAGATCTGATGGCGAATCAACGTAAATCTGACACCGTATCCCAAAACAACAACAAACCTATTATGCACAACGGTGTCAGTATGGAAAACCTAGAAAAAGAAAAGAATCTTAAGAACAACGCTCATAAAGCGGTGCTGCGCTCAAAAAGCGAGTTCCAAATACCGAAAATTCCACCCCTCCCGGCAGAAAAATCCTTAACCACCCGCTTGTTCAACTCAAACAGTCTGATCTCGTTTCTAACGCCAAGGTTGAAACGGAAGAGTTTGAAGGGTGGCCGTCACAGTCCTCCGAGCTTGACGTTGTGTCCTCCTCCTACCTCGCAGGCTCTGAAGAGTCTTCCCGAGTCCCGTGCCACGAGTCTTTCATCGCTGAGGTCAGGGTGTTCAGCGGGCGACGTTCAAAGGTAGGTCGGAGAGGTTAGGTTTCTTTTTCGAGGGTTGGTGTGGTCTTTGCGATGTAACCTGTTGCTTGATATTTTGGAGAGGGTCTTGTGAAAACACTGATGAATCGTCCGCTGTTCTGGCCTATAAATAATATGTTAAACAATTGACTGAATGATTTTACCTGACACATACTGTATTCCGGCGTGTGAAAGAAAAGATACCAGCGCTATCTATGAGACAGTAGCAGAACAAAGTTACCTTACAAATCTACTTTGAAAAAAGCTATGATGTTCGATTGATTGATCGGAGATCTTAGCGCCATCTGTGAGACAGTTGCAAAAGCAAACTCTTTAGCTACCCCTACCTGTTACAATTCAGTATTACCTCATTTATTTTGTATTCTATTTTATTAATGTTTTTAGTTAGTAGAAGTATATTTCTCTGAGTGCAAGGTTGTGTTTGTTCGTGGATATTTTTGCAGTCTTCAATACACTGAACCATAGAAAAAAGTTTATAACATATAACAGAAAGTACCAGGCCCAAGCTCTTAGAAAGGAATCATATATGAACAAGTCATTGAATGTATTGAAGAAAATAAGATATTGACAAAATTTCAAGCAGGATTCAGAAAAAAGTATTTTACTGAAATAGCAATTCAAATGTTAGTAGAAGAATGGAGGCGAAATATGGATGAAAAGAAGTTTACAGTAACATTGTTCTTAGATTTCAATAGAGCATTTGAGACTATTGACAGGGAAAAATTGTTAACGAAATTGCATTGCTATGGATTTCAAGGTTCAGTATTCAACTTATTACAAAATTATTTAATCAATAGAAGTCATAGAACTAAAATTGGCAATACATTATCAAACATTAAAAACATTTCGGCAGGTGTGCCACAGGGTAGCAAATTAGGTCCATTACTATTTATTTGATATATTAACAATATTCCTGATATTTTACAACACTGCAAAATTCAACTATTTGCTGATGATACATTAATATATATATATATATATATATTTTCTCTTTATATATATATATATAGAGAGAAAAAATTATCATGCGGAGAAAGGTATATAACAAAAATAGGAAAATAATGGACAAAATCCGCAAAAGGTGGATTCGAGCAGAAAATAGGATAGGTAACCCGAGCGATACGTATTTCTGCTGGTTGGCTTCATCAGGTCCGAAATGAATGCACATATGCAACTACAAAAGTAGAGACACATGCCCATACATCCGGATACCGGTATAACCTGAGGAAACAAAGTTGTGGACTTCGTGTGTCTTTTTTTCCTCTCCAAAACAACAACAAAATTTGGATTTCAATTTCGAATTTTTTTGTGGCTACAATACTTCCTCTCCAATTGGCCTGAATAAAGTAAGAAGCATCTTTTACGGTAAATGTGTGCAAATATTCGGTTTTTACACGAAAGCTCTACGGCGGAGAGGTCAAAATATTTAAATGACTCAATATCGCTTTCAGTGTTTTCACAACCCCAATGATTCCTGCATGTTGCACTCATATTTTACTTTTCTGCATTATCGTGCACGTCTTCTGCTATTTGGTTACTGATATCATGCCGAATTTTGTTTGTGATTGTGACGTTCTTTTTTTTGTTTGCCATAATTCACTGCAACTTCATGAATGCTGATATAAATATGAATCATTCAAAATTAATTCCATCGGATGACTTGTGATGTTTATGAGTACGTTTGGTTTAATCTCATTCATTTGTCGATTGAAATATCGCTTTATTCTCGCAATTGTTCCGTTCTTTTACTCTACACAAACAATATATTTTAATAGCCAGAAAACTGTAGTTTCCTGCTTGCATAGATGGCGTGTCACCTTTCGTTTATTAGGAGTACCTAATTTATACGTATTTGAAAAGCTGTTTTAACACTCTTAGAACGTTCTTCTACTTTTTTCACGAATGCTTGCTGCATAAGCATTCTAGAGAAAAAATGAAACTTTATAGTGTTGATCTTGTCGATAAATATATTTTTGCAAATGGTTATATTGTTCAGTCAAATATCCGAAAAGCGTTTTTATCATGAGGTAAACTCATAATCGAACAGAGTCGAGTATAGTAATAATCGATATCAGTAGCCATTTAATTTCTTTATTAAACATTCTACCTTAATCACTTTTTCTAGTTTCTTTTCTAAATGACTTTTCAGACCTGGCATTGGGCTTCAATTAAATCGTACGTATTATACATCACATCATTATTCATCTTTTATTACATATGTACGTATATATTAATAAATAATATTAATACACCTAGCTAAGTAGTATGCTCTTAATGATATGAATGCAGCAACAGCTCAAATTTGAATATATGCTTTGAACCTTGATTAATAAAAAAATGAGGACACGAACTATATGTAAGTTGTATGTTTCACTAATATCACTTGCGAAAGATTATTCCAAGCAGATGTACATTTGTACATGTACTTCAATATTTAAACTGTTTGAACTTTCATGAGATTGACTAGTTTAGAGGAAGATGGAATTTCAACGTTTTAATCCAAGAAAAAATATTAAGATACAATTAAAAAGACACACAACTTGTATGTTATGAACAAAAAATTCAGTCAAGTAGATTGACTCGGTGCTTCACAGGCATAGAAGAATCTATTTAAAATTCTAGGTATGCCCTAGTTCGGCATTTTTTTTATCTACATCATAAAGTGATCACAAATATGGAAATATCCATAAACGAAGTTTGAGAAAAACACCGCTCCGCCTTGTTGTCTTTCCGAAAAATTTAGTTTTTCTTTACGACTAGTCCGATTTTCATAACCTGTAATGCGATTCTATTAAAATCTGAACAGTGCTTTTTGACTTGTACAAAGACCAATGATTAATATATCTATGGGGTTGTCCAAAACAGACGCAGGAAAGTAAACGCATATTAAAACAAGAAAGATTGATATTTAAATCAAGTTGGGTACTTTATTTTAAAGGTTCATTTATACCATTTATGTATGAAAAATAATATCGCTCAAATGTTCACCACGACTGGATTTACAAACGTCCAAGCGATGGTCGAAATTTTCAATGACATTTTGCAACATGGTCGGTTCTATGGCATTTATCTCGGCAATGATGTTGTTTTTGAGTTCTTGGAGGGTGGCTGGTTTGTTGACGTAGACTTTGCTTTTCAAATATCCCCATAAAAAGAAGTGCAAGGGAGTCAAATCTCACGATCTTGGTGGCCATGGCACATTTTCTCTGCGCGAAATCACGCGATCACCGAAGAAGGACTGCAATCGATGGATGTTGACGTTGGTTGTGTGGCATGTTGCACCGTCTTGTTGGAAATAAACATCGTCCATATCCATTCCTTCAAGTTGCGGCAAAAAATAGTCCTCTATCATCACGTGATATCGCTCAGAATTGACGGACGGTAACGGTGTCCCCGGTCGCATTTTCGAAAAAGTAAGGTCCGATGATGCCTTTTGACCACACCACACAGTCACTTTTTGAGGATGCATCGGCTGCTCTTGATACTCACGGGGATTTTCGTTCGCCCAGATGCGGCAGTTTTGCTTGTTTACCGTCCCATTCAAAGTGAAATGCGCTTCGTCGCTGAACATGATTTTTGATGAAAAATTGGCATCAATTTGGCGGTGTTCAAGGAGCCAATCTGAGAACGTTCGGCGCGAAAAATGGTCGGCCCGACGCAGCTCTTGCGTCAATTGGATCTTGTAGGCGTGTACATTCAAATCCTTGTGGAGAATGCGGAGCAAACTGGTTCTCGAAATGCCCAATTTTTGGGATCGACGCGTTGTTGATTGTTTCGGATCATCTCTCACACTCTCCTTCACGACAGCAATATTTTCCGGTGTGCGAACGCTTCTTGGCCGGCCAGAGCCTGGCAGATTTGCCACAGAACCTGTTGCCTCGAATTTACGCACCAGACGACCGATGGTTGTTTCGTTTGTGCGGTTGTTGCGACCGAAATGTTCACAAAGCGCGCGAAACGTGTTTTTTATTTTTGCACCATTTTTGTAGTGCTCTTGAATAACTTTAATGCGGTCTTCAGTCGAGTACGACTCCATAGCGATAAATGGTAAACATTCAACTAACAAAATGACATGTCGGTGACAGAAAACAAAGATGGCGTCTATGTCAAATTGACGTTTACTTTCCTGCGTCCCTATTGGACAACCCTTTATTATACAGTACTTCCCTCATCATTCAACTGGTTTCGAGAAGTATGAAGGTTTCAAAAAACCAGGAAAATGATCTAAATAATTGAACCTGGACCTTAATACATTTAAGTTAAAATAGCAGGAATTTGCTGCACTCATATCGTTGAGAAATTTAGGTAATATATCGGGTGACAATAAGAATTGAAAACACGCTGTATTTTTTTGGCAAATAAAGATATCGCTGCAAGATTGCGATATGTTTAGTCAGTCATTAAGAGGCATTTCTGGAAAGTTGAATGGGTTTAACCGGAAGTGACCTTGACCTTCGTTTTTCAAATGGAAACCTATATATTTTCTTCCATAATTGAACTCTACGCTAAATTCCCTTTCCAACGATATATCACAAGTGACATTTTCGTTTTAAAATGCCGGCGCTATGAAGGAATTTGTGAATAACCTTAAATCCGCCAGATTGCTTATAGCGCCACCTTTTTAAAACGAAAATGTCACTTGTGACATATCGTTGGAAACGGAATTTCGCATAGAGTACGAAAAAAATATATAGGTTTCCACTTGAAAAACGAAAGTCAACGTCACTTCCGTTTAAACCTTCAACTTTCCAGAAATGCCTCTTAATGTCCAACTAAGCATGTCCCAGTCTTGAGGCGATATTTTTATTTGCCAAAAAAATACAGCGTGTTTCCAATTTTCAATGTCACCCGGTATATACAGGGTGTTTCACAACTTATCTTGTTACGAAAAAAATGTAATACAAGTCCTACGGAAATCGAGATAATAAAATAATACTGTTCACATACTTATAAAAGCTGTTCAAAATTGTTTCCATTGACTTCAGTTGGGCCTCATGTAATATGCGCCACGGTGTTGCATGTTGACCTGTTGGGCTAACTGCCTTGTGCTTATTCTCTGATTTTCTTCGACAATATCCAAAATTTCATCTTCGGCATTTAAAACCTATTCGGAAATCGGTGTGCATACACACGAGAAGCCGCTCGCGAATTTTGCCCTGCTTCTCTGTACGTTAAAACAATGTCCGCTAACTCATTAGTGTACACACGTGCCAATCTTATTAATAAATAACTAAAAACAAAAATCGACAGTTCTTCATTCAGATCACCCACGATACGGATTAAACCTTATTTACACGTTATCAGTATGAAAAAACGAAAAATTCCTGGTATTTTGTTTTCGTCAGTTGTTTGGTACAACATTTGCTGCAATAAATTATTAATGCGTGTTCTAATATCACGACGATGAACACAAAATACAGATATTTCTTTTTTAATTTATTATTGAAACTCAGGTTTATAACTTAATTTCTGTAGGACTTTTATTACAGTTGTTTGAGAAATCAACTTCTTTCGTAACAGTGGTTAAAATTTGTCGGATAAGTTGTGAAACACCCTGTATAATATTATATTATAGGTGGTATATTTTACTAATAAAAGTATGTGTATGTGCCAAATTTTCGTGAGGCTTATAAAAATATATTGGAATAAAAATATTAATTAGGCTATTAGCAGAATGTTTATGGGAAAAGTAAACATCTTGTTAAACTACTTCCTGGGGCTTTTTATATTTTTAGCATCGCTATGCTTAGCTGTGGTGTTGTGCTCTGGATTTAGCCATCGAAATAAACTGTATTTTGCGTAACATTCATGGCTGCAGTGCCATTTGAAAAACTGCATGATTCTAATCACTCCACTGTTTCTTATGAAATAAATGTAAACTGTAAACACTTTAGTCCTAACGATCATCTATGCCTCATCACTAACACCAATAACACCCCTTCATCCGTTGTGGTTTGCTTGTGCAGGGGCTTGCCTCACCATCGTAAGCTGCTAGAGGGCGCTTCTACGGGTAAGCTAGCGCCGTTGGCGATCAGTCCTGACGACGAATCGCCCGCTGTTGTTGCGGTGACTCCGCCTGCGACCAACGATACGGCCGTTGGTATGGCGACGGGCGGAGGTCAGCTGCAGCAATGCCAAGTCGGTGCTTTGCAGAACGGGGATCAGAGGAGATGCAGTATCACTACGTTAGTGCTTGCTTATTTCGTAGGCGATGTAGTCGTAGACGAATTCATGTAGAACGCAAAAGTGGTGTCAAGTGGCACCGGCTATTATGTAAAAAACGTCAAAAATAGGACGAAATGTCATCTTGCAGACTAGGCAGTTTTTAATGTGCAAATAGTTCATTCCACGTTTGCTCGCTATGGTCGCTGTTCGCTGACGTTTAAGCAACAGCTTGTGCTAAGTTAACATACGAAGGGTACAGAGGAAGAAATGAATGTCACGAAAAGTAAGTTTTGAGAAAAGTGAATTTAAAAGTTTGAAACCTCGTTTTACAGGGTCTTAAAAAAGTTAAATTATACTCGTAAATAAAAATATATTTTCCGATGTACAGGGTAGCCCAAAGCGAAGCCAGACCAAACATCTTTACTGGAAAATACTTTTTATTGTTGTACTTGTGATTTTGAACATTTTTTTATGTTAGCGTCGATGCCTAAATTCAACTTTTTTGAGGATGAACCTGTCGCGTTTCCAATTGGGTATAACAACGAAATACCATTGTTTTTTGTGTTTCCGATACCTCATGGGGTGCGTTAGGACTACAAAATACCAAATTTGTGACCTACGTATTGCAAAAAAACCGACGAAACGTCACTTTTCGAGATACGTAATACCCGAGCCGTTTGGTCTAAGGGCGAAAACACAGTGGAAGCCGGTTTCCCGCTTACCGACAACCGGCGCCGATCAGCGCCTATAAGCTTCTATAATAATATGCTCACAATAAAGGCAGGCCGGTTGTCAGAGGAGGTTGGATATAGACAAGTTAGTTAACACTGTGAAGGTTACACTAATTTTTAGTTAGGTGTTCAACTTTTTCCGGAATGCAATTGAATGTTTCATGATTCATTCTGGTGTAGTGCAAAAAGCGGTCGGGGTTATCTTTCAACGCCTCGAACAAATGATGATATTCACCGTAATGTACCCTATCACGATTTATGGGGTAAATACCAGCTTTCTTTCTAGTGATAATTTTAGTTACCCCATGTTGACGCGAAGACTACGCTGGAACTGACAATAGTCCGGTTTTATTTGCTTTTTTCTCGTCAGCACTGTGTCCATGACCAGCGCCGAAATTCGGTACCGATCGGCGCTGGTTGCCGGTAAGCAAAAAACCGGCTTCCACTGTGTTTTCGTCCGAAGACCATAACAGCCGGCCACCAACAGGGCATGCTTTAACATTGACGAGCCCGTATCTATCGTTCCCCAAAAAATGCTTCTAACAGATGAACGACGGGAGGGTCTTTTTTATGGGGTGGTCCATATCAATCCCCCAACCGCTTCATTTTCTTGATACCCGTGCATACCGAGAAGTGAAAAATCGTTCTTCTACGAAAGGTCACCGGATCTCGTAAATATTTTTTTAATAGACAATTGGGCATCTCCTGCCAACCAAGTGCAACTGCGATTCGTCATTGTCTGTTAAGGCGATCCAAAGGACCTTTGCCTTTGTGTCAAGGAACGTCAGTCAGTTATTCTGTCGGCCTGGTCACCCAAAACCCAGACCTGAATAAATAGAAAGAAGCAGAAGAAAAAAGGTGAAAAAAGAGAGCAAAGAGTGAGAAATGCAGTAAAAGGCGTCTGAGCATTGGCCAACCAAGCACCGTTGGGTTTTCCTTTTCAGACACAACTAGGCTTGGTATAACAAAGCTAATGTGTGGTGAGACGTGATTGAACAAGTAAAAAAATAAATGGAAAAATAGTCACTTGAATTGAAATTCCGGCTCTGTCGTAAAATCCGTATTTACATTGTAGTCGTACGTCGTATAACTGTACGGATAGGACAGGACCGGCTTCGGTTTGGTTCAGGTTTGATTGAGTTTGTGGATCCCAATATCGTTTACCATTTTTTCTTTACTAACATATGGGGACAATTTCCCAATTGGGGATGCGAACTGAAACGCGGTGGGCAAGGGGGGATAAGTCAGCTATCCGGGCAGGCTTTAACCATGGCAGGCCAGTACTGTCACAAAATAAAAATGCTGCTAACATATGAGCGACGTCTTTTTGGGGGGTCCAAATTGACCCCTCTGAACCTCGACCGCTTTATTTCCTTGATGCACCTGCACACAATAGACCTGGGAGTGGGAAACCTTTCTTCTAACAGATCATCTAGGGCTAGGGTTTTACGTCATGGACTTTTATTTTAGTATAGTTATTTCCTATTCAGTTATTCAGGGTGATTCAAGAAACAATGGCAATATTTCTAGGCCAGAAGATTAAACAAAAATAACAAAAAAGTTTCTATAAATTAAATATGTATAAAATACAGGCTGCTTGTTTCTACGTCACGGATGATATGAATAAGCACAAAACACGAACATTGTTCAATTAACGCTATGGTGATATAGGTAGGATGACTCGCCTAATGCACTGAATAGAATTGTCAATATCAAGCTTCACTAACTTGCCGTATTTTCCAGGAACAAGTTGAAGTTTTTATACGGATTTTACCTTAAATGTATCTCCAAGATAGATGTAAAAATGACCTAAAGTAAGTTGACTCTCTATTTACCACGCTACGCTGTTACCAGTTCGTGGAGAATTAACTTAGCTCTTGTGAGAAAAAAATTCTACGAATCTGTATAACAAAAAATTAGATGACCTTCCTACTCCCCTTGGGAGGGATTGCTGCAGGCGCACATGATCGTTGCGATGGCCAATCCCACGTTAATGACGATATTGGTCTTCACCATGCACAGTGCATGCAGCCCACAGAAGTACAGAAGCGATTGCCGGCTGTGATATACGACCACCGACGACGAGGCTTGTCCATCGAGGACGACGTCGGATGTATCGAAACCCGACTATAACACATCTTAGATTTAAGGGTACATGTTCAGGGGCATCTATGATGAGTGAAATATGCCTACTATGTGCATAGAATTACTGGGATTGGAAGCCTCCTGCAACCCCTAACCCCCAATGTTTAACCTCTACAAATTTTTTTCCGAAAATGGTCACGATCGTCTGAAATGTGAAAAAACGAAGTTTGGGCGATTTTTATTTTATTGTTTAAAAATTTCATCAAAATACGAGCGGTACTTCCCGAGTTTTGTGGGCGGTTATGAGGTTAGCGGACAGACAGGCAGATCGACGGAAATGAGTGGCATGGTTTTTCATGTCATATAGCATCCAAAAACGTAATATCTCATTTCCAAAAATTTTTTCCCGTCAGAAACATTTAAAATAAATTGATCAAAACACGCTATAGGTGTTTAAAAAAGTTTTTCGAGTTCCGTAGAGGTCGTAGTTCTCCAATTTCACGCCACTGGTGTGGTCTCAAGGACGAACATTTTTGTATATATTGGCTATATGTAGAAAATTTCTTGTCAATATCTTAATCCACTCCGATTTTTCGATTTACACATTTTAACTGTAACACCCTGTCGCTAAGGTTCCTTTTTGGGACCTATGTTTATAGAAACATTTCATGTCATTTTTTGTTGTATATTCTAGAAATATCCCCACTATTTTCTGAATCACCCTGTATATATATCTTTGTATACGGTTGATCTACGATTTGAAAATGTTCGATACACAAATATAACATGAAAAAAAGAGCCCTGACAAATTTCATAACTTTTTGAGCTCTCTACAAAAATTTCAGCCTAAAGTGCTCATGAGGGCAGTAACTTCGATTTGTTTTCAACTTTAAATATGATGAAAAAATGAGTTTGAATAATTTTTAAAACTGCTATCACGTATTTGACGATGTACGAAAATTGTCAGAAAATTGAAGACCAATAAAATTTGGGTAAAATCTGATAACTTTGTTTTTTACTCATACCGCCCGCTGCCACTTCGTAGATTTTCAAAAATTAATTTGTATTACCCCCTGCGATCCCACGGCAAAGTACCGCCGAAATGTCACAACAACCTGTGAAGCCATTTTCGTGATTACAAGAATAAAAGAAAGGCCAACTTCCAACATTTTGACATCAAAAAACCCACAAAAAATGTCACTGGAAAAAGGTTTTTTCGTGAAACACACTGATTGAATTTTACAGGACTGGACTTGTCCTAATTATTTGTGTTAATTTTATATCCAACAGCAACAAGGGTATCTCTATAAAATGCCATTCATTAAGGGTGGTCGAGCATTTTTGATTTTGTATGAACACTTCACATCATCTTTGTCTGTTCTACATGAATTGAAGGTGTAGTCGCAAAAACGTGTATATGGGAGTAATGTAGTTAGTCATATTCGGTTTTTAAAAATTGTCAAATTAGCTATTTTATTTGACATATTCAAAGAGACGAGATCGAGAACAAAAATCGTACTTCTCCTAGATGAAGTCGAAAAGAGAGACAATTTTTTCCAATTTCAGATCGTGCATCATAATGAAAATGAATTTTTATACATATTTTCCTCTACATATTCACGAATAGGATTTTTGATAAGCAGTTCCATACAGTTTTTTTGTGATAATTCACTTGGGTTGTATTTTGGAATAGTGAAATATATGAAATTTAGGTAATCATTTATTTTGAAGTTTTTTTTTTTAAATAATGTTTAGCTGAATATTTCGGTCATTGTTATCTAAACGAGAAAATTTAAATTACACAATAAAAATACTTGACAGACCCTGTTCAATTTGCGTGAATTAGCAGTCATTTGGCTGAAACTGGCTATATCTCAGTTTAATGAAGGATGGAAAAGTAAATTGGATACATCCTGCATCTCACACTTCACAATTTTTAGCGGTCCGAAATATTTAAACAAAAAATTAGATTGCATTCAAATATACATACGTAGAGTTAGTAGATATTTTTAGTGTCAAGGATACAACGAATGCAAAAAAAATGTTCATCATAGTATTCCCAGGAGCTTCTAATGTAATTGTGACGTTGTTAGTCTAATATACGAGGGAGGGCTGATAAGGACTTAACCTCCTCGCCCGATGGCGCCACTATCGCAAGAGAAATTAAATTAAATTGTATATTACAATCTCGTGGACGGCTACTGTCAAAATTTCAGTCTATTGAATCAAATATTGCTTGGATGCTGTGTACAGCTGCTTCAGAAAACCTATGTTTCAAACGGGTTAAAGATGTTGGAGCGTCAAGTGTATCGCGCTGAAAAGAGATGTTGAGAAATAAATCTCCACTTAGTCAAAATGTTCGTTTGTCTCTTGTAGGCTAAGTACTTACCGGACCGACTTCGTATTCTATATGAACTCATGAATTAATGTTCCAAATTCTGGAAATTGTCAATTCAAACAATACTTGTTCTTTACTAATTGTAATAAAAAGTAAACCTTGTTAAAAGAGGGCCAGAAAACCAAGAATATTTACAGAGAGAAGAGGATAACTTTTTGATGGAAGTTTTAGGTTTTCCGTGATTTTAAGACAAATTATGACATAATCGTTTTTCTTCCCTCTACCGTCAGTTGCCAAGTTACACTGATGAGCGTGTTAGATCAAAGCCCGAAACATTACTTATTATTGTCTTATTTTTTTAGGAATCCGAGTGCGGGTAGCCTAGTCATATCAGAAACAGGATCTTTGGACAGAGCCAAGGCAGCTTACGAGAGGCGAAAGAAGAATAAAGAAGATAGCGAATTAGGGTCAAGCTCGACGGCCCCTGGCAGAGTGGAAATCACCAGGGTGAATCCGGATGATCTCATCGAGGAACTGCTGAAGAACACCAATTTGGAAACGGCTGATGATTCGGCTGAAAGTGAGCATACATATTTTAAGATTCAACGAGACCCCTTTTCACTAAAATTGAACGCGTCCTGATAAACACTCTTAGGCCCGTATCGTCAGTCGCCCCTACAATTGTAGGGCGCCTTTATGGCCTCCTTGATTGTCATAGTATTCTACTTCTCCGTGTCAGCGCTCTATTTTGAGGTTATGTCACAAAACATCAATTTGCATCAAATCGTAATTGGTTTTGAGTTATATCATGTTTTATCAGCCTGAAATTTCCTACAATTTAAAAGGAAAACAATCTTCACAATAGGAGAGCGCTGACGCTGTCACGGGATAAGTGTAATCTAGAAATTTTTGAAGGAGAGAAAGGAGTATGACAATCAAGGAGGCCATAAACACGCCCTACAATTGTAGGGTCGACTGACGATACGGGCCTAAAGGGTATCCGAGTAGGTACTTTAAGTTTTGAAGGACCCCCAATGAAAGTTTGCAACCAACATACTTTATTTTTTAATACGGACCTGGAAGTATGTTTTTAGTGTTCTAGATGAAGTAATAGATAATATGACCTTCTAAATCTAACAACAACGTAACGGATATAGTATTAAATAGTAAATTATAAAATTAATGGACCTGTAAATAAAGTTTCCAGCATTGTACTCCAAAATGAAAAAATCAGTGTCTCCAACCTCATACAAAATCGTCTACTCAAATAACGAAAGTAGATCATTAGAACGAGGTTTATGTGCTTTTTCCAAAATGTATCCGAAATCGGAAATTCCGATATAGAGGGTGTAGTTGTGGGTAAAACGGTTTTGTAGAACTGCAACTGCCTATATTTCATTTCCTGTTCGATCATAGTCAAATCTATAGCATAAGCTGCATACGCCTACCAATGGGTGGTTAAAAAGTGAGGTCATAAATAACTGACCAAAATCGGCAAAACTCCCGGTTGTAAGAGGTTAAAGACAGTTCAACCACAGTTTATTTATAATCACCTCAGCGGCCCCTATTCTCGGTTAAAGTATCTCGCTCTACCAAGATCTCGAGATTTCGTGATTAATATGTATCACTTCACTGGTAAATATAACTGCCATTAGCCCCCTTGTTCCGACCCAGTCATACAATTTGTTTTTGGCTGATATATTTTGTGCAAAATTAATTCTCAGCTGACGCGTCCTGTCCATAAATTACGTCTATGCAAAATTTCATGTCTATAGGTCAGTGTTCGAGAAAAATTTATCTCGAAAAGTAATAGGAATATTCAGCCCCCTCCTACCCCGTCTAAAGGATATAATTTCTGGAACTGTTGATAATGATTATTTTAAAGATGAAACTGAAGACAAAACTTTTACGCTGGATTCATTTGAAATATTCAAGTCCTTTGCAAAAGTGAAAAGTGTGAATTCCCACTTAACCCCATTAGGGCTGAAATTTATAAAATTTCTTTGTAAGTGCCCATTTTGCTCTGTAAGAAAGAACCGAATATACCAAACCCATATTTGTATTCCTAGCTTTGAAAAATGATAGTTTCCCGCAGCATCTTTTACCCCTCATTTCAACCCCTTCAAGTCTAAGTTTCACAACAAAAAGTCCGTTTACAAGATCTAATCTATAAATATGCTAAAATTCGTCAAAATTGGTTCAGCCGTTTTGGTATGAAAACGGAACATACATATGTACACATTTTCACATTCATACAGGGCGATTCACAAGTCGTGACCAAAAATTAAGAATCATACACAGGATCGCATTTTAAGGAGGGTCTTCTTTGTTTCATTTTTGGTCACGACTTGTGAATCACCCTGTACAAGTAACGATATTAGTATACATTGTCCGACATTTCAAGTTAGGACATATTTGAGACAGAAACTTTGTGGGTCAAAACAGTGAATGTCACCTAATTTTAATGAAAGCTTAACACACGAAATATTTAAACAATTACGATTTTTTCCAGCGTCTGGTCTACAGTTGTTCATAGCGAAAGACGGTACCGCGGCGGTGGGCAATCACGAGGTGAAATCCCAAATGCAAACCGGAGGCGTGCAGATATTCAAACAGGTGGTGATGGACGACAGGTAGCCTTCGTAATGGAAGAGGTGGAAGTGACGGAAGGAGTTTCAGGCTGTACACGACAAAGTCAAGAGCTCGGTGCAAATGTCGGTCATCTTCATATTTTCTTAAATGTGTTTCTTCCATAATGTCAATAAGTTAACAGAGATTAGCAAGATGGCTAGGCGCTAGGCAAGACTATTTTATCTAGTGGCCACGCAATTTGGAAGTCATGGGAGTGACAGTAAAATAAAATTGGTCAGAGAAGTCAGAGAAAATAAATGGTAGTGAGGAAAATTCAGGAATCTCTTGATGAAAGGCACGTGAAGAAAGTGTAATGTCCGTTCGCGTGGTCACATAAAAAGCGAAGGGCCGTATTTGCCTTCTTACTTCAAAGGACGCCTTTTTGGCCATTTATCGTTCATTTTTTTGTCTACTTTAGGAAGCCAAAAACTAGGTTCCTTTTTGCTTTCCTAAATGAGAGCAAAAAACCGAAGGAAAAAGGTAGTATATGGCCAAAAAGGGCGGCAAAGAGCAGCGACTGTGAATACGACCCTAGGGATAGGCAAGACTTCTGAGAATTTCACGTAGAATTTTGCTCAAAGCGTGGCATAGGGCATTGATGATAGTAAAATATGGAGCTGATTCATTTTTAGCCTGATTCTAACTAAAATTGGACTGTTGGAGTATTTGGATGGAGGGGATGAATAATCCTCTTTAAGGCATAGTGACGCATCTGTAAACTTGAGAGAAGGGAAAAAGAAATCAAAATATACCGAGTATTGTGTAATTACTTTGTGAATATGCACTTTGAAAGTTTAAGGGTTTGGAGCAACGATTTTGAACAGCTAAAAGAGTTCGGACGAAAATGTTGGGTATATGAAATGGCTTTTCAATTTTCTTTTATTGATAAGATCAAAAAGGTGGATGATTGGAGAATATGATTCGTTTCGCTCGACTCTGTATGGAGATTTAAAAAAAATTTATTAAACGGTGCATAATCAGCTGTCTTTTTATCTTTTTTTGTCTGAGCTGACAATTTTCTTACGGCCAGTGGTCCTAAAACTAAGCATGTTTCAACCAGGTGCTAATCTCTTTTTGAGTTTATAGCATCCGTCTATCTGTTAACTTAAAAATTACGTAAGAACTGCTGCCTCTACGATTTTTCAAAATTTAATACGATGGCGGTTCAATAAGTACCCGTGTTGGAAATGAAAACGATTTTTTCAAATTTTTTTTCAACATAGTCACCTTTTAGAAAGATACGTTCCTGCCATTTTTTAACCGCTCCTAAAAATTGGATTTGTCGAACTCTCAAAAATACGTCTCTGTCTCGCCTTCTTTGGAACAGATTCACCGGGAGAAATCCATTGTTTTGATTGTTCCTTATCTTCTGTATCAATCAGTCTGAAATGTGTTGTGCTGTCGTTTGATAGATGGCAGCACACGATGATAATACCAACTTCCCCCAGGAACGCGCTCTGTCGTCAAACACGGGTGCGTATTGAACAAGCCTCGATTTTTGCACGAAGTTGACTTTTACCGAAATATGATGAATAATAAATCTTTGCAATTTCCATCTTTATTTTTGTTAATATGTGGTTATTAGACCATTTTACGTCTCTTGATTCACCCATGCTCCAAGAGTCAATATTGAAACTGTGCAAAACAGTACCCGGCAGATCTGTCTATATCGATATTACTATTTCATTTCAAAATTTTTTTTGTGTTTGGTCAAAAAGGGCGTTCTGTCAGTTGGCTGTCATTTTGGTTTTGTGGCCATAGCCTTTTAGTTTTACGTTGTTTAGTGTCGATTACCCTAACATCACAAAATTGCTAGAGATCTAATATTTTCAGTTTTCGTGACATTTAAAGAAATGTCATAGAGTTAATTTTCCGTTTGAAATTTTATTTTATTTTTTATCCTATTATACTATTAAATACCAGAACATTATGAAAACTTGGCAACCATATATTTTTTGTAAAAAAGGTTTCAAGAAATGCTTCAGGGTATGATGACCTCAGAGGTCATTTTTGTACATTCGAACAGCAACCACCATTTTCGACAACAGATTTGTTTGGAGCTCGAGATTTTCATACATGAGGTCAAGTGGTCATAAGTGGTTCAATCAGCATGACCTACTGTAACATCAGAACAGTACACGAACATCCCGAAAACTTAGCAACCACGCATTTTTGGGAAAAAAAGTTTCAAGGAAGATTTTGAAATACCTTAAAAGCAATTTGTCGATCACTAAATACGACCTAGACAACGACCTCAAAGCTCATTTGGAGGTCAACTTTGTATATTCAAATAGCAGCTATCATTTTTGGAAGAATGTTCTTTTGGGGCAAAATTGCTAGAGATCTAATATTTTCAGTTTATGTGACATTTAAAGAAATGTTAATTTTCCGTTTAACAAATATGTTTAAAATTTTATTTTATTTTTTAATCCTATTATAACTATTACATACCAGAACACTCTGAAAACTTGGCAACAATATATTTTTTTCAAAACAGGTTTCAAGAATGTTTCAGGGTATGATGATGAGACAATGATCTCAGAGGTCTTTTTGTATATTCAAACAACAGCCACCATTTTTGACAATAGATTTGTGGTCATAAGTGGTTCAATCAGCATAACCTACTGTAACGTCAGAAAAGTACACGTTCATCCCGAAAAGAAAGGTTTTTGAATACCTTAAAAGCAATTTGTCGATCACTCTAAATATGACCTAGACAGTGACCTCAGAGGTCATTTGGAGGTCAACTTTGTAAATTCAATTTTGACCGCAGATTCGTGTGGGGCTCGCGCTTCTACATCATAATTGTTTGACACACATGAGGTCAAGTAGTCATAAGCGGTTCAATCAGTATGAACTACTGTAACGTCTGAGAAGTACACGAACACTTTGAAAACGTGGCGAACACGCACTTTTCCTCACTCTATATCGTCAGAGTACAGAACAGGTCATACCATGATTTCTTTTTGATCTTTTAAGACGTAGACTGTTACTAATCACTAATGACCAATTGACCTCATGTATGAAAATAGATCCTGATGGTAAATCCCGAGCTCGACACGAGCCTACTGTCAAAAATGGTTATTGCTGTTTGAGTTTACACCTTTGACCTCCAAATGACCTATTGTTTCGGTCATATCTGAGGTCATAGACAAATAACATATTTGATACCATGACGCTTTTCTCAGAACCTGTTTCTGGTTGCTATTTGAATTTAAAAAATTGATCTCCAAATGACTTGAGGTCATTGTTAAGGTAATATCTGAGTACACCGACAAATTGCTTTTTTGATACCCTGAATCGTTTCTCAGAACCTTTTTTACAAAAATGCAAGGTTGCCAAGGTTTTGGGGTGTTCGGGTATTTAATAGACACAGCTACCCAAGCACGCCCAGCGGTCAGCGCTTGAACTAAAGAATGTATATACCTCAGTTCTTGCGACTGCCACTAGGAGCGTTGCTTGTTGGAGCTGTTTGAGTCGCCAATGAGAGTGCGAGTAAAGAATAATCAAAAAATTATTTCGCGAACTAGCTGTAGAATGCCTGGAGGCCGAACGTATTGTTAGAAAGTATTACAACAGCAATTGTTGTCAATTTTTGTGATATATATTGTTATTAGTAGCGTGAAAATAAGTATGTATACATCACGATTGTTGAATGTGATGTTGCGGATATATTGGTTCTGACAATATTATTTATTGTAAATTATTATTTACTGCGTATTAAATATTTATTTTAAATGTAAAACTGGATTTTACTGTAATATACTTTTTAGTATGTATTTTGTATTTTTTCTTCAATTCATTTTGTGTGTATATTCAAAGAGGTGGTAGACAAGGAACAGTCGACCGAGGCGGTACCACACAGTAGCTTTTTCCATGGTATCTTAGGAATGTCCGCTTGTTTCCACGCACTCGAATATGTTCCCAACAAAGAAATTAATGATGATGGATCCATGGAGCACTAAAAATTCCGGACGTAAACTCACTCAATTTTCAGTGGAGGGTGGAAACAACATCGATGATAAAATTTGTTTCACGAACATCTGCAACATTGATATTGTTCAACACCACCTGCAGTCTCATCGTCCCGCCATGTTTTTCTTGGCCGAGTTCAAAATCTCAGTTCTGCACCGATTCATCATCTTGGCTTCCCAAATTACGTGGTGCACTCCAATCTGAGAAAGAACGGGAGAGCTGTGGCTTTTGTCCGCAGCGGTCTTTCCTGCTTCAGAGACGTTTTATCGCTCATAGTTATTTGCTGCCTTTATCGCTCTTCCTCGGGCCACAACTGGGACGACCTACTTCAATACTTCGCTGTCAAGATCGACTTCCTGAACATCAGTCGCCCCGCTTCAGAGGTAGTTCTCCTCGGTGATCTCAATGCCCATAATGAGCTCTGGTCGGGCTCAAACAAGACCGATGCAGCTGGTTGTACTGCTGAAGCGTTCGCCATAACTCAAGGACTGACCCAGATGGTAACGAGCCCTACTCTCTTCTCCGGCGTTTCGTCATACGCCAGCAGCCTGCTGGATCGCTTTCTGACCACGCATCCAGTTGCTTGCAGCACTACTGCCCTGTCTCCCCTGGGTAACTCAGACCATGGTGTTCTGGAGGCACGAAACTTGAAATTTGCTCATGTCCAACGCATCCTAAACAAGGGATCTAAGACTGGCCCTTACAACTACAGGGTGCGGCAAAGAGGATGGACGGTTTTAAAAAACACAAAATAGTTAATTTTTACTCGAAAACAAATTTATTGATGGAATCAGGTTCACAAGGAAATAGCATTTGAGACAGTCAAGTGTGGAAAATCACATCAGGCATGTGGTGGCCGAAATCGTTGATGCAGTGCTGGAGACGTTCTCTCCAACATCGCTCTCTCAACTTGGGCGACTTCCACGCGAATTTCGCCCTTCAATTCGTCCAGAGTTCGGGGCTTGTTCGCGTATACTCTAGCCTTGAGGTGTCGCCATAAGAAAAAATCTGGGGACCGAGGAGGCCAATGAACATCGCCAAACCTGGAAATACGGCGACCAGGGAAGAGAGGGCGAATAACGTCCATGGATGCTCGGGCTGTTTAGGTGAAAGTGGGCTTCGTCACTCATAAACAAAATGAGGTTCTCATTTTGATCGATCAGTGCTTCCATCTCACGTGCGAAGTTGATTCGTTGTGCTTAATCTCCGGGCTGTAACTGTTGCACAATGGCCAATTTGTAGGGGTGAAACCATATGCAAAATTCGCCTTACCGAACGATCACTAAGGCGAAGTGCAGCAGCATGTTTCCGGGCAGATCGAGTTGGACTGCGAAGAAAGACCTATCGAACGCGTTCAACATTTTCAGGAGTTCGAACTGTTCGCGGCGCTCCTCTTGGTCTTCTGTTGATCAGTTCACCACGAATGCGAAGTGATTCAACCCAACGAAGGATGGTGTTTCGAGTGGGAACAGCTCTATTCCGATGAATGTTGAAGTGGCGACGAAACTCACGCTGTACGACGATGACTGACTCATCATTTCGAACGAAACAATCATAGGCGAAAACCGTCCAAGGCTCCATAACGACAACTGGTAAAATAATGCTAGGATCTCACAAGTCAAACGGCACCCTCCCCACCTCTCTCGTAGACGGAGGCGGAGAGTACTACCCATCCCAAAAACGCCCGTCCTCTCTGCCGCACCCTGTACAAACCTATAGATCTGCTTTCTGTTATAAGTAACGCGAGAGGTGGTTAAATCGCTATCGCCTCTCAGAAAAGCTTTGCAGATGAGTGGCTGACTTTCTGTCTGACCCTCTTTTTTTCTACTCCCCCGATTTTCTATCGATTCGAAAATACTGTACTTTGAAAGGACTCTGTAGAAAGGAGAGAGGAAATCTAGACACAGGTTTGAGTAAACATGTTAAACCAATCAAAATGGAGATAATTTTGACAATCCAAAAACTAAAAAAAGATTCTGGTCAAGATTTCCTTCGTATAATTTTATCTATGGAACCGAAAACTTTTAAAAAACACATTACAAACGAACAAAAGGAGAAAATGATTGAATTTCTCCGAGAGCATCCTCAAATGCACCAAGGAAAATTCAATCATAGAGTACATGATACTGTTTTAGAATGACTAAAACTTGATATCTAATATTGCCTTTGTTGTGGTCGAAAGTGCAGAAGTTCGTGGGGGTGGTTGTATGAATGGAGTCAATATCTCCAGCAATTCGTACGCCATATCTCTGGTCAACCTAAACATCTATACAAATTTTCGATCCGAATTTATGAAAGGAACTCAGTGCCCAAGAATATCTTTCTCAATCTCCCATTCCTCAACTGCCTCCTCTACATCCTCGTTAATAATATCGTTCCAATAGATCAATTGATCGTAATTATCCATTTTTGAGGTAGTCTTGCATCAAGAATGAAACGATATCATTCTCACGAAATTTTAGTAATAAGAAAACAAATTAATGATGTATTGGGCTGAATACACACCTGTGGCGGATGGTGCAAAGTGGATAGTCTCCCCCATCATATCCCACACATGTTCGATGGGATTTAACGCTTAGTAAATGAAAGGGCAATAACTAAAAATATCTGTGCTACTGCTTTCTTCACAAAAACTAAGAGATAGCATTTTAACAAAGGTGAACAAAAATAAAACATTGACATTGTTGCCACAGCAATCTTTGAATATAGTCATTATGTTGCCAAAAAAAAAAACAAGTTGAGGAAATTACTTTTTCTGGGTGTAACACTCAGTCAGTGGCGAAGCGTCCATGTAACCATTATTACCATTGGTAACAGTTAAAAATCTTAAAAATAAATATTTTATGACTAAGTACTGTGAAATAAGATCATTTATTTGTTTACCAACGGTGATATGTAATAGTAATTCAGTAAATAGCAAATTAGCCCCACGAAAATAATGCGCCCTATAGTGTCTAGGTTTTGTGAACACGATGAAGCTGAGTCGCCTCGACTTGGTTGTCGGTTGTTACCATTTTCATTAATGGATACACTTTACAACGATTTAAATAGTTTTAGGGCTCTAAAGAGGATACATGAAATTTCTCCATTACATGTGAGATGTGTAGCCAATTTAACTCAGTTTGGCAAAACAAGAATCGAAAGTTGTTTTAACCAAGCTTTTAGGCAGTACACTTCTAGATACCGTCTGTTTTTTTGGCAAGACAGGAATTACCGATCATTTTGAAGGAAATGACTCTGACAATAGAGGAAATTACAGGGAATTGTTAACATTCATTGCCAAAAAAGATCAAAAATTTTCCGAACATCTAGAAAGGTCGACTGTTTTTTGTATATATGTAGCATAAGACGATGAGGTATATCAAGTGCCAGAGACGCTCAGTCCAGGAATGTTTACCTTAATTTAAAAATAGTTTAAATAAAATAGCTAAAATAAGCCAAAACTTATATTTGGGACGATCAAAATAAACTTTTTTTAATAAGATTTTTCACATCTGGTTTTGGTAACAGTTTAGGAAAAATCACGCGTCGTCACTGCACTTAGTATCTATATGACTTCAAGGGAAATACTAAGTCAATCTACTTGACTCTATTGTTTTGATCTTATGACACGAACATGTCACGTCACTACCATCTGGCTAGTGATTCTTGCACTCACTTCAGAAAGTTAAAAAAATATTACTGTTTTTGAGAACTGGTCCAATTAGGGAAGAATAAAGGTCGATTCACACTCAGCCGCGACGTGACAGTGCTGTGACGTGCCAGTGATTCTCACTGACGTGAGCTCACAGTGTTTTCAATTCACACCGGCAAGTATTTTAAAATTTAAAATTCAAGTATCGTGTATTACTTCAGTATGGAACTCTACTATATAAAGTTTTAAAATATAAATTACCCAGATATCTGTTTATTGCTTTGGAGAAGAGACGTTCACTCCGCCAAGTTTCCTTACGCAACAATGCCTATTTCAATATTCCAGTTCATACAACATCTAAATTCAAAAAATGTTTTACTTACACGGCACCATATCTACTGAACGAGCATTTAGAACTTTTTGAAGCATCTGCCATCCAAAACTTCAGAAATGAGATGGAAAAAGTGCTACTACAGCTGCAAAGATTTGAATCCACAAATTAAATTTATGGCGCTTGCTACACTGCCCTCCATTAACACTCAGACTACATCGTATTATATACTATTTGTTGTGAATACTAATCATTCTGTTGATGTTAAAAAACGCTCATGAAGTTAACTTTTTAGGGGGAGGTGAAAAATGGCGCTGCCAATCCTCTTTCCTTTTGGAAGTTTGTCGTTTTTATATTTTTATGTATACTAAGTGACATATAAATCCGAACACCCAATTTAAATGGTTTTATTTTAATAAAATTTTGTATAAGTACTTAATGAAGCATAATAAGTAAATGATAAAAATTTCAAAATGATTGCACTGCTTTAAAGCCCTTTGACCTTTAATAATGTGTGGATGCACCCTTATGTGCTACGCATTCTCCAACGCGCCTAGGCATGCTTCTGATCAGGTGGTTAATGTCCTGTGGTATCTCATTCCAGGCAACCACCAACTCCTCTCGAAGTGCTTCTAGAGTCTGAGGAGGACGTTGCAAATTGAGCAATCTCCTACCCATCATATCCCACACGTGCTCAATTGGGGATAAGTCGGGAGATCTTGGTGGCCATCGTAACAATGTGACATCATTATGTTGAAAGAAGTTTATTGTGACTCTTGCAACATGTGGTCGGGCATTATCTTG